AGGCTCTATGCTGCCAGCACACACCAGCACCCACCGCTAACAGCCATGCGCCCAGCACCTAAACCCAGACTTGAATACGCACCAGCCTACCCAGCGTCTGCTCCCTATATCAGCTGAACTGTGGAGACCCCCACCTACCCACACACAAGCATGCACACACAGGAGGCTCCCCCTGTGTCCCAGGAGGCCCGCAGACACACACGTCGCACACCCAGCACGTGTGTCACGTGGAGATCAGGAAGCCCAGCTGGGGGCTCCCTGGAGAGCTGGCTTCCTGTTTGCACAGAGGCTGGGAACTGCTGATGGGAGCTTCTGGATGAGAACGGCCCCTCACCCACCGCCTCAGTGTTCCTCATGCAGCCCTGCAGACCCTGCACCCCTTCTGCGCCCACCTCTGACCCTGTCTTGCAGGGAGATCAGGATCCAGATGGGGAAACTAAGGCTCAGGGAGGTACTGCTGCTTGCCCAGGGTCGCCCAGGGTCGCCCAGGGTCACCCAGGGAGGAAGAGGCGGCACCCAGAGTCCAGACTTTGAGCTTAACCTGCATCCCTTCTAAGCACTGCACCCTGGGTCGGGGGTTCAGAGACAGGAAGGTAGTCCTTTCTGCCTGGACCGTGGCCCAGCCCCTCCTGGCTCGCAGGCTCCAGGGGCCACCCCCACAAAGCCCCAGGCTGCAGGCCCTGCTATTCACCACCCCAGTGCATTCTGCCTGTCCTTGTTTCCAAAAGAAAGGCCTGGCCCTCAGCTGGGTTCAGGGCCCACCAGCATCGCAAATATTAGTGGATTGCTGGCCCCAACAAAGCAGACCTGGTCCCGCCCTCAGAGGGCTGGCGGGGTGGGAGGACCAAGCAAGTACACAAACACGTCTGCAGCTGCCTCCTCTAAGCTCCAGCCCTACAGAGCCACCGGGCTGGCAAAGGGCACTCCTGGCCCTCTCCTGCCTGCTGTTGGTTGCATGGGCTCTTCTCTGTGCCTGGAATGCCCTTCCCTGGCTCCCTGGTGAACTCCTCTTCAACCATCAAAGCCCCAACTCCAATGTCCTCTTTTCCTGGAAGGCCTCCCAGGACTCTCCAGCCCCCATCTTTCCCTGTGGCTCCCTGCTGACTCCACAGGGCTGGGGATGCATGTGTCTGGGTCTGTTCCCTGCCACAGTGCCCTTGGGACGCTCTCCATTGTGCTGTCCTCATAGTGGTGATAAAGATGGCTTTTATTACTTCCAGACCTTCCTCCAATGAGCCCCAAAACTCCCAGAGTAGTTGGCCCGGCCAGAGTCACACACCTGTCCCTGAGCCAACCCCTGTGTCTGTGATATCAAAAGGTTCTAATTGGCCAGACCTGGTCACATCTGGAGCCACCAAAAAGCAGGCAGAGAGAGCAGACACCCCCACAGACCCTTGTGCTGGGGACTTGGGGTCTCCTGCCTGCCCACCCCACTCTGGTTGGGGGGCCTTGGGCTACTCACCTGGTGTCTATGCCTTGGTTTCCCCACCCATGAATCGAGCTCAGCAGGGCTGAGGTGTTGGAGCACAGAAGGCCCATCCCCCTCCTGCTTGTGCATGCCACGTTTGCCCTGCACTGCTCCCACCCCTGTCCTTTATTGTCATCCTCTGTGAATCCCCCAAGAACAGTCTGCCTGGTGTGGCAGGCACTGATGGCTGCCGGCTGAGTCACTGTTTCCTCCTGGGCTCCTTGCCCAGCCCTATGCTTTCTGGGGACTTTCCTGAATGTCAAAAACAAGGTGGAGGGGATGGGGGATCTGACTCCCAGGTTGGGAAGCGAGTGCAGATGTGTGTGTGGACAGCTTTGTGCATTCCCTGGTGTGGGTTCAGTTCCCGTGTCTGGCCTCCACCTGTAAGACAGAGGCCATAACTATGTCCCCCTCAGAGGTGGGAACTCCACACGTGAGCACCCCATGAACACCCCGTGCACGTGGGTCTGTGTGATTCGAGGTCTTGGCTGCTTGTGCCCAAGTTCACTGGCCTGTGTCTGTGTCCCTGGGCTGCTTGTGTGCACGTGTGTGTTTGCATGTGTGTGTGTACATCATGGCTGCCCCATGGGTGGAGTCTGATAACACGGAGACCCAGCCCCTTGCTGGAAAACGTTCATCTGGTGGGGGGAACTTCTTGGGCATAAGGCAGGAGGATCAGGAGACTACCGGCACATGGGGGCTCAGGGAACTGTAGGGGAGACGGGTCAAGAGGAGGCGGGGGGCTGGGGGCATGTGCAGAGCTGAGTTTTGGGAGGAAATGACATCAATGGGAAAAATATTCACCAAGCACCTAATGGGTGTGTGGGGCACTGGGGACACAGCAGGGCCTTGGTGTAACAGACACCACATCAACAAGCAAGTGAGTATGTAACTCCAGGAAGGGGAAGGACCAGGAAGCAAAATTCATGGGGCAGGGTAGGGGGCTGAGGGAGGTGACTCGTGATCTGAGATGCGCAGGGGGAGGAGGTCCTGGGGAGATCTAAGGAGAGAGAGCGCCAGGTAGAGGGCACAGCAGGTGCAAAGGCCCTGAGGTGCTGAGGAGCTGGCAGAGGGGCTCAGGCCTCATTCAGGAAGGTCTAAGCCCAGAGCAGGGAGGGGAGGGGTCAGCAGACTGTGTTGGTGGGGACTGGGTCACCAAGACAGGCCATCCTGTAACTGGAGCCCAGCAGGAACACATCCCCCTCCCACCCGCCCCCAGCGCTCCTGCTCGGGACAGAATGTGCTGGGCGGAGAAGCGGCGGGGCCGCTCCTGGTGGCTGGAGCGGGGCGGCCGGAGGATTCCTGAACAGCCGCCCGGCTGGGCCGCTGGCCAGCGTGGCAGGAAAACAAGTGGTGGGCGCCCTGCCCGCCTGTCACCTCGTGCCTTGGGGCTGGCTGGGTCAGGGCGGGAGACAGAGATGGTAAGAGAGTCAGAGACTGAGAGGGACAGAGAGACAGTGAGCAGAAGACAGAGACAGTAAGACAGTATCTGAGAGAGATGTTGAACGAGAGACAGAAGTAGAGTGAGCAAGAGACAGAGAGACAGGGAGACAATGAGAGGGACATAAATAGATGAGACAGAGAGAGACAGTAAGCAAGAGAGACGTGGAGAGAGACAGAGACAGTGAGAGACTGACGCAGAGAAGCAGAGACTGTGGACACAGAGATGGTGAGAGACATCCTGGTGTCTGACTCTGCACGGGTAAAATCTGAATCTAGGGGGTCTTGGGAACAATTAGAAGGGGGTGACACCCCCACCCCCATAAGAATCTTCATCCTACCAGAGCAGGCAGGGTGGAGTTCCCCTAGTCACTCAGTCAGTCAACAACCCCCCTCATGCCTGCTGTGTGCTGGGGCTGGGGACACAGCCCTGACTCAGCCCCTCCCTCAAAGGCTGGGACAAACAAGTGAACATCTGTAGAAATTTCAGAGTGTGGGGCCGGCCCTGTGGCTCACTCGGGAGAGTGTGGCGCTGGTAGCGCCGAGGCTGCGGGTTTGGATCCTATATAGGGATGGCCGGTGCGCTCACTGGCTGAGTGAAGCCAAGGGTTGAGATCCCCTTACCGGTCAAAAAAACAAAAAAAAAAAAAAAAAGAAAAGAAATTTCAGAGTGTGGGGCCGGCCCTGTGGCTCACTCGGGAGAGTGTGGCGCTGGTAGCGCCGAGGCTGCGGGTTTGGATCCTATATAGGGATGGCCGGTGCGCTCACTGGCTGAGTGAAGCCAAGGGTTGAGATCCCCTTACCGGTCAAAAAAACAAAAAAAAAAAAAAAAAAAAAAAAAAAAAAAAGAAAAGAAATTTCAGAGTGTGATGAAGACCATAGATCAGGGGGATGCGGGAGCAGGTAATCGGGGGTGGCAACTTTAGCCAGGAGGTTGGGGTGTCCCTGAAAAGGTGAGTCCAGAGGATAAAGAGGAGCCAGACACGGGGTAAGAGACTTTCAGCAGAGGGAACAGCATGTGCAAAGACCCTGAGGTGGCAACCAGCTTGGGGTGTTTGAGTAGCAGCCACAGGAGGGAGGGGGAGCTGGAGGGAGAGGTGAGTGGGGGGACTTAGCGGCCTGGGGAAGGGTGGGGTTTTATTATATATTTGATATAAATTGACCACCCTCCTTGGGGGACCCCCTGGGCTCCACCCCGTGTTCAGGAAGTTCCCTGAATTGGGACCACCCAAGCCAGCTTCACCCTGGTTGTCATTTATCTGAACCAGAATGTCCTCCTTTAGGGATCAAGTTTCCACAGCTGCAGACTCAGGAGTCCTGAGGACTCAGGGTGTGTTGTCTCCCAAGCTCACCAGGGGAAACCTTTTGTAGAAATGCACCACATCCACTGTGGGAATAGACACCTTAGACGCGTCTCAGTTTGGGAACATGGATCTGGAAACTGGGGTCGTATGTCTTGTACACCCCGCGTGACGGGGAACTCATTTCCCCCTGAGAGTGCCAATTTGGGTTCTGGGGGACTGACCTATGGGAACACCTCCTCTCAGCCTGGCCTCAGGGACCTCCCATGTCTGGCATGCTCTGCACCTGATGCCAGGTCAGCTGCCCAGGGCACATGCTGCTGGACAGGGAGGTCCAAGTGGGCCCCAGCAGCAGGAGCTGCTGGAAATCAGGGCCCAACTTCAGGCCAGAGGGTGGGGAGGTGATTGGGGGAATGTACGGGTGTGTCTCAGAGTCTGAGATGGAGAAATTGAGTCTCAGAGGCAAGTGACCTGCCTGCATTCACAAGCAGAGCAAAGCCCTAACCCAGTTCTGCTGGTGTCCAGCTCCTGGGTCCCCATATCTTCCTCCTTGGTCCCCCCGGCCCGCTCCTGCCAGTGGCCACCCCGAGGCTGCCAGTTAATTTTCACTGCCTTGGGCAGGCTGGTGGACGCTGCCTGGGCTATCATATCAAGGCTCGAGTTAGGCTCCGCCCCCATGGGGGGGCGAGGATGCGGGAAGGGCGGGGCCTTGAGGTCTGGGGAGGAGCCGGAGAGAGCTTGAGGGGCGGGGTCTCACGGGGCCTGTGGGGGCGTGGACCCCGGCCCCCAAGGGGGAGATCGGAATGGCGCCCCCGTAGCCCTCAATGTGAGACGCTGTGGGCGGGTCACCTTGTTCTCCTGGGCTCGCTTTGCCCATCTGCAACTCCAGAAAAATGACAACGCCATGCCGCTAGGGTACTCGGTGAGTATTCCAAGAAATCCTTGTACACCTGTGCTCACAGCAGCACTGTTCATAGTAGCCAGCACTGGAAGCAACTCACGTGTCTATCGGTGGATGAATAGGTCAACAAAATGTGGGCATCCACAGGATGGAATATTACTCAGCCATAAAAAGGAACGAAGCTCTGACCCTGGCTACAACGTGGATGCACCTTGAAAACATTACACTGAGTGAGAGAAGCCAGACGCGAAAGGTCGCATGGTGTATGATTCCATTTATATGAAATGCCCAGCACTGGCACATCCATAGACACAGCAGAGTGGTGGGTGCCAGGGGCTGGGGGAGGGGGATGGGGAGTGGCTGCTAATGGGGATGGAGTTTCCTTTTAAGTGATGGAAAAGTTCTGGAACTAGATGGAGCTGGTGGTTGCATAACATTGTTTATGTGTTAAATGCTATGGAATCATACACTTTAAAATGGTTAATTTTATGGTATGTGACTCTCACTTCAATAAAAACAAAAAAAGCCCGGAATCAGGAAGGCAGATCTTCCTGCATGCAGGCACTCCCTGCCCAGTCCCACCCCACTCCTCTCCATTCTCTGAGATGTGTCCTCTCCTTGTCCCCCCCCCCCCCCCCCCCCCCCCCCCCC